AAGGGAGAGCATGTTTGGTGTGACAGGGATTCGAACTCGCGACCCACAGATTGCTAGTCGAGCCCCCTAACCACATGACCATGCCGGGCCCATTAGGAAAGAGCTAAAAGAAACTAGTGATTCAGATAATGGTGGAACTGCAATTTCAGGCCATAAATGTGAAGAGCAAAAGCATTAACTGCTTGGTAAAAACATAGAGGGCTGATGCAAGGCCAAAAAAGAGAGTGCAGAACTTATAAGCCTGACCTCAGTGAATGAACTAAATTAAAAGTCTGGAAAAAAGAGGAAATGAGAATGAGAAAACAGACATCAGAGATATTCATCTTGGTTCTACAAAGACCCAGAGCCAAAAATCAGCATAGGGTGAGAAAAGTCCATATGGGAAATTGAGGTAGGTCGAGAAACCAATGGAAACGTGAAAGAGCTTTGACCAGACACCAATCCTGAGTTTTCTTGGAATGATAAACAGGCAAGAACAAATTCCTGTAAAAGGACAAGAAACCTGTTTGATAGCAAATTTGGCCAATAAGTCTGACATTGCTTCCAACAGACACTGGTAAGAAACTGGATCCCTTGGAGGAGATAAATTAAAAGAAATAGGAGTGAGAAGAGGAGTGGAAAAAATGAAGGGTAAAGCCCTTTGACAAAACCTACAACACCCAATGATTGGCCACAAATGGACTTCAAAGACCCACAAATTGAGCTAAATGGGTTCCTACTGTCCCTGGGCCTAGAGAATAAGCACCACCAAGACAGATGGTACTGAAGTCTATGAACAATGAAAGAATGGATGGGAGCAGAGGAATTGGAAGTGGGACAAGGAAAGGAATTTGGAGGACAGGAGAAAAATGGGTAAAGAAGGGGCTAAAGAGAGATGAGAAACAAGTGAGAATAAGGAAGAATGTTGGCATGCAGCCTTAACAAATGACTCCAGAGAATCAATACTCCATTAGAAACACTTTGGCAGAGGAAAGGAGCAAGACAACGATATCTGAAATAAGGAGGAGACAAATGCATTTGAGCAAGAAGGGCATCTCTCCCAACAAATCCCACCAACAGATCAACAAAGTACAAAGTGATAAGGCCAAGAAAGATAAATACACCAAAGTAGAGAAGATAAATAAACAAGCATCTGCCAAAAACCCTATAGGGGAACGGTGAATTGCATCAGAAAGAATGTGATTGGAGTGAGCGTAAGATGAAGGCAGAAAACTGAGCTTGAGAAAGTAGAAAAAACAAAAATGACAGAAGATCTGACCCCCAAGTCTGAAGAAGAAACTCTAGAGTTTGGGAGTCCAAAATATGGAATACAGCTTGATTTTAAGCTGTTGCATATGTGAAAACAAGGAAAGAAAGAAAAAGAATGAATGTACCAGAGCAAAGTTGAAATAAAAATAATCCAATATAAAACTGAATATCTGGAGAGGAAGATAAAACATAAAGGTCAGAAGTAGGGAATGAAGTAAGAAGTGGAGGAAAGAGAGAGAGAGAAATAAAGTAATATACTTGAGAAACCATGTCCCAAAATTACAAAAAAAGACCTAAGTAGATCCACAACAGCATGGGTAGAAGATATGACACAGCTAGTTGGTCAAAATTATCTTTGTCATGAACAGGAAACATAGGGGGAGTTATATAAGGTACAGAAGAAGGTTCAGGCCACGTGAAAGACTCCACTTTCTGTTGCACAACAGCCATAACTTCCTCAAAATGAAAAAGATAAACCCAATGCCATTTTAGTTGTTAGTCTAGCATGAACAACATCTTGTGGTCCCAAAAAGACAAATTGGAAGTTACTGTCACTTATGAATTAATAATGTGGAAATAAAAGGCCACAAAATCTGCAGGTGCAGAAACGATGGAAAACAAAAACCCAAATTTAATATTTCTACAACAGTTAGTGTTTTTCTAGATACTTCCACAAAAAACATCTATATCTCAAAAGCTCCGGCAAAAAAAACAAACGAGTCCTTACATGAGTGTCAAATCAAGAATTGATGATTGAATGATCAGTATGGAGGAAGCCATTATGAGGGTGTGTTGCATTCTTACTGATGGAAAGTTGTCAATGCTCATTTGCATGCAACAGTGCAGTAATATCATGTGGAAACACATAATTTTAGGTGAGAATCGCAAGGTTAGTGGCAAGCAACAAAGTTTGCATATAGAGGACATCACTGAATCAGGAAAGCTATATGTCAAAAGAGGTTATGTTTCGTATCAAAATTTTATTATTATTTTTCAGTATTTATACAGTACTGTGCAAGTGTTAGGACAAGAGAATATTTTGTCATTCTTTCAATTCTGTGGGGTTAATTCTTTCATGCCATTACAGAATGTAAATTTCAACACTATGATAATGCCTCAATGATCCCTGTTGACAATTGAATGAG